TTCCAACATCTAGTCACGGCATGAAGAAACGGAAAACAAAGTGGATAACGACTCAGCGGGAAAAGTGCATTTATGCCGAAACCCCGGAAGTTCACCTTTTCTGAGCCATCTAAAGTTGCAATCCAATTCGAGAGTTTTTCAGCGAAAAATGGCTCCATTTGTGAAGAATATATAGCTGAAATGAAGAAATTACGAAGTCCAACCTTTTGTAGAAGATAAGGCAGTGAGTGGTAGCCAGGTGTCAACAATTTGGAGGTCCTGCACATTGATGGCCGACAAGCCACATTGGTGGCCGGCAGGCCACCTTACATGGTCGGCAGTCTCTCACTTTAACCTACTGTCCTTCTTTGTGCTGGAAAGTGCTGAAAGCATGTGTTTTGTTCTGTTCTTTGTGTGTTTTAGAGTCTTGTTTTGAGTCCTTTTGGGCTTTAGCATGTTTATTGAGTTCTATCCGTTTTGTTTTGTTGATCGAGTTGTATTTGTGTTGTTTTTGTTTATCAAGTTGTGGTATCGAGTCGTATATTGTTGTTATTTTAGTTGTTGATCGGTTCATTACCTGATTAAGACTGTTATGGCAATACAAGTATTCTATTTTTCAGTATCAAATTCAATCTCATTTTCATGCAATATGGTGCTCATGATGCAAAATACAACACTTTTTCAAATAAAAACTAGTTTTTATTCCGATCATGGTTGTTTTTGCAAAAGGGCAGTATAAGTTTCCAAAGCAAATAAAAAGCTATCTAAAGCTATACAATGTGCTAAAGCTATAAGCAAAAAGAAACTAAGCAAAAATAAAAAATCAGCGCTGGTCGCCTCAAGCCCGAGAAGCCCTCTTCGTCCTCTTCCTCAGATGAGAAGACTCTGGGGCACTGTCTCCGTCGGCGCTGCTGTCTAAATCTGAACCAAAGTCTGAACCGAAGCCATCTCCGCTCTTTATCTCGGAGCTCGCCTCGGCATCGCCCCTGCTCTTGGAACCCGAGCCGACGTCATCATCTCCATTCTCAGATGACTCTAAATGTTGACTCGCTGCCTCCTCAAAGTGGCTCGTCTCGGTATCATCATCACTTAGAATGGGCTTAGAGGAGGTACTGCTGGAGCAGGTGCTATAACTCCCGCTGGTGCCATCGAAATTGGTGGGATATGAAAAGATAGTTGGTGCATATCAGTTATAGCATGTGCATCAGTTATAGCATGTGTATCAGATGCAAGCATCATATGTAGAATGAGTATATGTATAAAATCAGATACAGTGTATGAATACAGTATGCAAGCGCAGTGTGTCAAATGTGGTCTATCGATGCAATGTATCAGTGCAGTTTGGGAAGCTTTCAGTTAAAATGTTAGTGTTAGTGGGTTAGTGGAAAGTTGATGCCTAGAATATAAAACTGAAGAAATTACCTGAACACTGTAGAGGCTGAACAGTGACTCTCTCCTCTGTATCATCCCCATCAGCGAGGCTATCAGCTCGAAGGCGCCTCATGTGTACATGATCGGTGCCTGCAAATGTGTTTGAATGATTAGTATTGGCCATAGATATATCTGAAATGAAATATGGAGTGAAAATGTAAAGTGTGGTTCACACTGGAGTCGGGCCTCGGACACCGACAAGCTTATGACCAGCCGTTGTGGGCTCAATCGGGACCTGGTAGGCATCCCCAGTATGTCGCCAGCAAGTCAACATGGTGGGAAGCTCTTACCAATCAGTCCTCTTGCCCGCTCGGGATGCCCTTCTGCCACGAGCCTTGCTCTCCCGAGTCACTCTGTGCCTCGCTCTCGCGGCAGGAGCCCTCGCCTCCTCATCTCCACGAATGCCGGTCAGGGACGACATCAAGTGTGTTTGGATGAAAGCCACATAGTCGCCCTCTTCTTGGAAGAAGTTGACGTCAAGGCCCACCATGAGTTGGATGACCTCCTCAACAGATAGGCTCTCTGTGGACCGCATGGACTTTGGTGGAGCCATCGGGACGATCAGGTTCGGCAGGCCCATAATCTGGCGCATAAAGTGCTCGCCCAAGAACCAGGCCCAGCAGACCAGACCCTCAAGCAGAATGCGATAGAGGGAGACGGCCCAAGCGTCAACAAACTGCTCCCAGATCCCCCCCGACATCAATGCCCATGGCTGCCATGTGATCTACAAACAGGAGTTATACAGATTATTAGTTGCTGTAAGTTGCTAAATTTGTGAAGCAAAATAGTTCCAAAGCAAAAATGACTGTGTTTCGGATTACCTCATGGGCAGTTACTATGTCGAAGTACTGCCTGAAGAAAGTGAAAGGTTCACGGGTCCTACAGCAAAGTTGACTGTCGCATACCCGCGAATAGGGAACTATCAACAGAAGCTCCACTACAGGCTCTGAGGCGAGTGTCGGGAAGTATGCATATACCCATAGCTGCAGGGAAAATGCAGTGGTATGTGATCAGTACAATATCGAGCAGACACAGAAATACGAAGTAGAAAGCATGTATTGAAATAGATGTGCAGAAACTGCGAAGAAAATATAAAGTGCAAAGAGGGAATTGAGATGTGTACTTCTAGGGATGGCAACGGGCCGGGGCAAGGCCGGGGATCACACTCCCCGTGCCCGATCCCCGATGGTAAAAATTTCCCCGTCCCCGGTCCCGATCCCCCGACGGAGGACTTATCACTGTCCCCACCCCCGCTCCTAACAGGGATCGGGTTTTCCCGACTCCGAATATTCCCCGGCCAAAAAAAAAAAAAACCAGCAGCAACAGAGGAGTGTTTAGTGTAGAATGAAGATGAAGGCTTGGGGGGAGATAGAGAGAGAGAGAGAGCGAGAGAGAGATGAGATCAACATAGATCTATACATTTTTCCAGATCTGGAAGGACATAGATGTTTAGTGTATGTTGGACATAGATCTGGAAGGACATAGATGTATATTGGGATATATATATAAGCACACACACATATATATACATATATGAACACACACATATATATACATATATATATAAACACACACACACAGATCGATTGTCCCTTTTTCAGTGTTGAGCTTAATTTCAACATATATACATATACATATATAATTATCTATAAACACACACACATACACACACTGACACACACACACACACACACACACACACACACACATATATATATATATCTACACAAATGTAGAGAGACAGAGATTTCTTCCTTGGTATTACGATGGCCATATGTGAGGGAGCAGCAGCCGACGACCGTGTGTATGTGAGCGATGGTCGTGTGTGTGAGGCTAGCGGTGAAGAAGCAACAGCGATGGCAGTGTGTGAGCAGAGCAGAGAGAGAGAGGTGATGTGTTTGTGTGTGTGAGTGAACCAAACCCTAAAATGAGTCAACAAAATAGACTCACATATATATATAGACAGGGGGTATAATGGTAATTTTAATTCGGGGAAACGGGCAGGGGTCGGGGCTGAGAAATGTATCATCGTCCCCGACCCGAAAATCATTGGAGATTTATTTTTGAATACCATCCCCGGCCCGTCGGGGGTATTTTTCAGGGAAAAACTGCTCTAATCGGGGTCGGGGGGTCCGGTCCCCGTCGGGCCGGGTTCAAATTGCCATCCCTATGTACCTCCCAAGCTCGCCAGTAGCCTCTAATCGAGTCTCCACACAAACGGGAGGTAGAGCTCATATATCTGTATAGGGTGGTGAGGCCGGCTTTTCCTCAGTCGTAGAAACGAACCCGAGGAAGGGTCACCAAAGCACTCAGCAAATACAGGCCAACGGTGTTCCACCTGTTCGAAAACAAGGTGGTACCAAAGACAAACATCAGGAAGCCCCTAGCGTACTACTCAGTTTCCTCTATCGTCTCGAGCTCAGTCCCTTAGACCGCATGTTATTAAATTGCTTCATATGCCATATTAGTAACCGAGCATATTAATTGCATTCTTTGCATGTGTTGCATTAGACATCTTGTATAGTTAGGAATCATACATATTTTTTTAACTCATATCTTCTTAGCTTGGAGTACTAGGTGAGTTTTTAGTGCTTTAGCATACTTGCATGAATGTGAGTGTTGCCATAACTAGCATGCTTACCATGAGACTAAATGCTTATTTGATAAAATGCTTGAATGCCTGTGGATGAAGGCTTGTTGTTTGAATTGGAACAATTCAATAAATGTGTGTTTTAAGCCCACTTTGTTGAGTGGCAAATCAATTTTAAGCCCACTTTGTTGCATTCTTTGCATGTGTTGCATTAGACATCTTGTATAGTTAGGAATCATACATATTTTTTTAACTCATATCTTCTTAGCTTGGAGTACTAGGTGAGTTTTTAGTGCTTTAGCATACTTGCATGAATGTGAGTGTTGCCATAACTAGCATGCTTACCATGAGGCTAAATGCTTATTTGATAAAATGCTTGAATGTCTGTGGATGAAGGCTTGTTGTTTGAATTGGAACGATTCAATAAATGTGTGCTTTAAGCCCACTTTGTTGAGTGGCAAATCAATTTTAAGCCCACTTTGTTGAATGGCAAATCCGTTTTAAGCCCGCTTGAGGTGACAAATTCAAACCTTTTTCGCAAAAACAAACATAAAATTGAATTGTTCCAACTTGAGCAAACTAGTCTATACTTGTGTGCGTCCATCACATAGTAAAGCTAGCTTAATAACCGGAACAAGAGCACATAATGTACATAAAAATCATATCATGATTAGTAGAGGCCGATCTTTGTTCGGGCGAGTGGGGTTGCTCAATTCATGACCTTCCCCTCTCGTACCTTAGTTCCCGAGCTGAGACAACTTTGATGATGACAGACACATGGCCTTTGGCATGAGTCATGGATTTCCTAAATTTTTCCAAAATAATATATTTAGGTGGCGACTCTGTATCTGGCAAAACAGTCCATTTTTGACAATTTGATTCAAAATCGATTTTCCAAAAGATTTGTCAGTTTTGGACTCTTTAGTATTTATCAATTTTACATCGCACTTGTGAGATTAGATTCAGAACCGCGGGAGTTCAAACTGTAGGATTTCTTTCGAGTTTCTGAAAAGGGGCACAAAAAAGCCGAGCTACACTAGGTTTGCTTCTTCTTTCCCCCTCTCTCTCTCTCTCTCTCTCTCTCTCTCTACAAATCCTCTTCTTTCTCTGTATATTCGAACCTTGGGATAATCCACCACTGCCCTCGCTTTCACAACCAGGTTTTCCCCTTTCTTTCTCTATATCTCTCTACATATGTCCATACATGTATATCTGATTTGTTTGTCCCGTCTTCTAAGTTCAATCAAAACCCTTTTATTGTTTTATTATAGTTATCTATTTGATTTTCTTATTTGTAAAATATAAAGATTTTGATTTGATTTTCTCGGCAATATATATATATGTGTGTGTGTGTGTGTATGTGTGTGTGTGTGTGTATGCAGTGTATAGAAGTGTGAGATGGTATCTCTACCTTTATCTTATTACATCCAATAGATTGAGTCCAAAAAAGGTCCCCTACTTCCATTCGTTGCAAATCACGGAGGAGCTCTCTTCGGCAACTTTGTGTTGATAACCACACCTCTCCTTCCCTTTTCTCGGTATGACACCATTATTGTTTCAATCATATGTGCCTCAGTCTTTTACTTTGGAATTTTTTTTTCTTCTTAATGATGTTTCCCTTTTCCATCCTCTTCCCCCCCAATTTTCTCTGGGTTTTGTTTTGTTTGATGGAAGATTGTTTCTAGAGAAGAAGATTTTTACTTTTAAAGGCTCAATTTTTCTTTGGCAGCACTTTTTTGTTTTTTGTTTTTTTGTTTTTCTAAGGAAAAATATTTGATTCATGTACAATTGTCTTTTTGGTGATACAAAATTATTAATATTTTTCTAGGTTTTTGGGTTTTTATATTTGATTCATGTTCAATTGGTTTTTTGGTGATACAATGCAGTTTCAGAGGTTTGTTTTAGTTTTTTTACTTTTGCGTATCTTAGTTGAGTTGTATTGTAACAGTTTGGTTATGAGTTGGAAATTGATGTTTGATTTGAATGATGAAAATTTTGATGGGATATGATTTTAATCTAATGTTAAGCTTGATTATTTTTATTTTTTATTTTTTTGTTTTTGGTTGCAAGTTGGTTTTTGGTATTTGAATTTAATTGAAGACCTTGCTTGATTTGACCTATAAATGGTTGGTCCATGAATTAATTGCAATACCTTATCTTTACAATGGTTGCATATTTATATGATTATCTCTAAAGGGTTGTAATTATCTCTAAAGGGTTGTAATCATCACCGTCACTATGTATGCCATTAGGTTGAATTTGTTTGTGATTTAGGTTTCAGGAAAACAACCATTAATTGTTTTTTACAAAAGTTATTTTCATCTTGATGAAAATGAAACTTGAAATATCAATACTAATATGAGTGCTTTTATTATAAATTTGATGAGTAATAGTTCTTTAGATGCGTCAAATTAGATTATAACATGCATTAAAAATCAATTGACACAAAATTTATGGTTTACTATGTATGTGCTTGTGCTTTGAGCTCCTGCAAAATTTCGTTTACAAATAATATACTATGATTTTAACCAACACAAAATTATTTTTTTTTTGGTCAATTAGAGGTTGGCCCATCTGATGAGTATGTCCTTAACTTTTAGTAGTGAAGTTCCTCTCAATTCGCTTTCAAAAATCCTTCTGGATGCTAATTTTGGTATGGACTTGCCACAATGAAAGTAATTCATGAGCTAGCAGAATAATCCTAGGACGTTTCATAGCTGTCTCATTTATCTTGTTTATTTTTTTGTAAGTCTTTGTGTTTGTATATTCTATCAAATTCAGTCTTTGTGTTTGTATCTTCTATCAGATTCTGTTCTCATTCTTGTATGATGTTTTTGGATTTTTATATTTAAATTCATCGGCGACTTTTTTTTTCTAGGGAAAAATATTGATTCATGTTCAATTGGCTTTTTGTCATTTTTTTGGATTGAAATGTGAGATTATTTTTATTTTTTATTTTTTGTTTTTGGTTGCAAGTTGGTTTTTGGTATTTGAATTTAATTGAAGACCTTGCTCGATCTGACCTACAAATGGTTGGTCCCTGAATTAATTGCAATACCTTATCTTTACAATGGTGGCGTATTTATATGATTATCTCTAAAGGGTTTTAATTATCTCTGAAGGGTTGTAATCATCACCGTCACTATGTATGCCATTAGGTTGAATTTGTTTGTGATTTAGGTTTCAGGAAAACAACCATTAATTGTTTTTTACAAAAGTTATTTTCATCTTGATGAAAATGAAACTTGAAATATCAATACTAATATGAGTGCTTTTATTATAAATTTGATGAGTAATAGTTCTTTAGATGCGTCAAATTAGATTATAACATGCATTAAAAATCAATTTGACACAAAATTTATGGTTTACTATGTATGTGCTTGTGCTTTGAGCTCCTGCAAAATTTCGTTTACAAATAATATACTATGATTTTAACCAACACAAAATTATTTTTTTTTTGGTCAATTAGAGGTTGGCCCATCTGATGAGTATGTCCTTAACTTTTAGTAGTGAAGTTCCTCTCAATTCGCTTTCAAAAATCCTTCTGGATGCTAATTTTGGTATGGACTTGCCACAATGAAAGTAATTCATGAGCTAGCAGAATAATCCTAGGACGTTTCATAGCTGTCTCATTTATCTTGTTTATTTTTTTGTAAGTCTTTGTGTTTGTATATTCTATCAAATTCAGTCTTTGTGTTTGTATCTTCTATCAGATTCTGTTCTCATTCTTGTATGATGTTTTTGGATTTTTATATTTAAATTCATCAGCGACTTTTTTTTTCTAGGGAAAAATATTGATTCATGTTCAATTGGCTTTTTGTCATTTTTTTGGATTGAAATGTGAATTGCACCTGACAATTGCCATTGCCCAATAATAATTTAAAAAGATGCATAACCACTATACACAAATCATTAAACATTAATTTAGCTCTATGGTCTGTAGTCTCCATGTCAACATCATTGGCATCCAATGCTTGTTATGCATTTAAGAACAATTGTAATTCCTTTTATTGTCTACCTCTTCTTCTTTTTTTAAATAGTTTTTAAGAAGCAATGTTATCTGTCACAAGCAACTTTAATAAATGATAAATGACCAAAGAAGTTAGAAGAAGTAAGGGCGGGGAGGTAGTGTGTGTGAGATTCTATTTAATTATTTTTTATGACTAATAATTGGATATATGCAAGTAGTGCATGCACAGATTAGGTTTCTTTTTTATTTCAAAAATTTGAAAATGGTATTAACTTGAGGTATTTGTTAAAAAAATTGGACGTGTTGATATTGTTGATTGTTGAGAAGTTGTACATTGAATAGGTTTCTTTGGTAGTGTAATAGGGTAAATGTAAATTATAATTTCTCTATATTCCAAACAAGTTGGTTACACGCATTAAATGAATATATATATATATATTGACTGGATGAAATTTGGTAAGAATTTTTATTAATCAAATGTTTGTCTGAAAGCATAGAAATTTTTCTTATAGACAAAGGAGTTCCTTTATGCTACTTGACAAATGTTTTTTTTATTAATTAATGACAAACACTTCCACTCATAAAGGCACCCATTATTCTTGGTAGTTAGTACTTAGTTTACTCTTGCAGCTGCATCCAACATTGTTTGGGAAGTATAGTTTATTTGTTAATTGCAAAATTCTCCCCTTTGGTCGTTGAATTGACTCTTTTTGTGTTCATATCAAGTAATCTCTTGACATGCTTTGCTGTACTTATCATAGTTTGAAGATGGGAGTGGCAGAACAGTTCTGACATGGAGGAGGAAACACTGCTGATAGGAATGGGTAAGTGATATTCTAGTGCTCCAAGCATTTATCATATTAAAATTTAATATCATAGTTAATATATATTTTTTGTTGATAATCTTTTTCTCTTTTTTTTTGGTGAATAAATTATAAAATAAAACAAGTGAATTTACATATTTACAAGGGATATACCCCACGCCCTAACAACACTATACAACCAAAAGACTATCAACCCCAATCTAGAAACAAACTGCTAGACAAAACAAATGGAGCTAGACTGTGAATGTATCATAAGCCCCATCTAGAAGGATAAGGGACATGAACAAAAACAAATGCTTCTATAACCTGTGAACCATGAACACCAATCTACCTTTACAAACCACAACATACTTCAAAAAACATATCCAGCAATATTTCAGGCCACATATATCAAAATATCCCAATTAAAGTAATCCTCAATAGAACAGATTTGGATAAACAAGACCCAAAAAGAACAGCCTACTAACACCTGCAACAAGAGAGACAGTAAAGAGCCAAATAGAGAGGGTAACAGAGCACTATAGAAAGTCAGCAATATTTGATTAATCTGGATGGATCATCCTCAAAGCAGTGGGTGCCAAGAACCAGAACTCAGCTAAAGGAGCCTGGAAACACAAGGAATCAACATAAGCTAAGATAATATAGTTCAGAAAATGCATGCACACAAAACTCTCAAAAGGGCTGCAAGCACTCAACCCTCAAACACACTCAAACTCAGAGCTGAAACAAGTACATTAGTAAACAGACAAATGTGTTTCTCACAACACTCAACCCACAGAGGGCTACATCACTCAACCTTCAAAGCTCACCACACTCACTCATGCCTATTTAGAATCTTACTATACTTAACTCACATCCCTACAGATCAGATAGCAACCCGCAAAAAATAAACCTGCACTGAGAGCATTAGTTAAAAAAATTAGAGGCTCACCCCACTCAACCCACAAATCTCACATCACTCACTCAATATGCTAGTGTAGGGCTCACAACACTCAACCCACCTCCCTAAGAAAGTACTAGCCATGTACCTGCAGGTTATTAAAAGTTACTAGATTTAAGCACGGAGTCAGGTAGAGACCATTCCTTCAAGAACCACTTATTTGTTAAATCAACCTTGAAGTTAGTGATTGACATCACTCTGCACCTCACTAATTCTTGTATCCTACTGATTATAGCCACCTCATTTGACTTTGTAGTTTGGAAGATCCTACAATTTCTTTTCTGCCAGATACAGTATATAGAACAAGTGAAGACCAGTTTACAAATAGTGACAAACAGTGAGGAGCTAGTAAGCTAGGAAGCTAACCAATGCACAAGTTGGTTCCAGTTCATATTAGGCCAAGTCACATTACACTTAGCTTTCATGGTGGACCAGATTCTGAATGAAAAAGGGCACTCAAAGAATAGATGATTGTGGTCCTGATCATCCTTTAAATAGAATAATGTTTGGCTTTAATGTGATCATCTTAATAGGAAATTCTCTGTAGATTCCTCTTCATATGCTTGATACATCCTTTCTTCTTTATGGTGTTGGTTTTTCTAAACCTTTGAAAACAATTCTTGTTTGCAGTGGACAGGAAAAAAGGAATACATAGGGATGAACTATCCCAAAAGCTAAAAACCATAGCTTATTGACACTGTGTGCCCTTAATAGTGAGAGATTGATATTTACTCTTAGAACCAATCAACTATATTTTTATGTTTGAATGTAATATAAGTAGACATTTGCTGAAGGATGCTTTAAGGTATTCATGGCTTCATTTGTGGGCTTTCATCATATGGGTTTTTAGCATTTTTTTTCCTTGCTAACATTTCTATTATTGTAATCATTTGCTTGATGGTTCAAACACAAATACAAGTATAGAGTAATATGCTAATCAAATTGACTTGTATAGTTTTGTACTTGTATTTAAGTCGAAGTGGACTGTTTTCTCGAAACGTGGGGCTAGATTGTTTAAGAAAATTGTTTAGACCATAAAAACGTCTAATTAGGGGCTACCAAAATGTCACATGCTCTAAACACCTCAAAAATCATCCCCTACAATCAGTTTTGAAAAGAAGTAAGTTTGATATTTTTCCAAGAGTGATAAAGTTGCAGCAGTCATGAAATCAGTAGAAAATACAAGGTAGCATCACTTATTCATACTAACACCTAAACTTACACCCCATTTCCAAGCATACCAACATTTCATACATACACAGAACATGCTAGGAGGTAGATTAAGAAGAGTAAGCAGGATTGGAGAAGAGAAGAGGGGTGTGTAATTTACCTTGAGGCTAGATAATAATTGTATCACAATTAAAACCAGGTGGCTTAATGCCTTTTATCAATATGCACACGAATAAACCCTATTTTTAGTAGTTTAGTACTTACTACCAAAAAACAAATAACCATGCAAAAACATTCTACAACTATAAATGTAAAAATAGGGTTTATTCATGTGGATTTAGTGGTTTAGAGTTTATTTTTAGTAGTTTTGCTTTATGTGGATTTTATTTGCATATACGTTAAGACTATTGAGATCTTGAATTTTTGCTAATTTTTCATTATGACATTGCTTTTATGGGGCCATTGAATTATCCTATTAGTTTTGGAAATGTTTTGTTGATGTTTTAAAATTTCTTGATCATTTCTTAATACCACAAGAAATATTTTTGTCCATGAGTCGTTGGTTTTTGTACTTATGTAAAGTTTCCTTTGTCATGCAGACAAGAAATGCAACAGGGTTAATTGCTCCAGCTATTGTCGCAGGTTTAGGTGCCTTAACACATACATTGGGCACCCTCTTCCCTGTGATAGGAGCAAGTGGATTTGTTACAGCTGCAGCAACAACTGTTATAGGAACTGTTGTCGATAGTTTTAGATAATCTCTTAATAGTTGTCGATATGTTTAGAAAGTTTGATATGCATAGTTTTGGATGGTTTAAACTTTTTGTACAGTTTAGAACTTAAGGATATAGTTTTCAAATGTTTGGAATGCATAGACAATTATTGAATGTTTATAATTTATAGATATAGTTTCTTTTTGATGTTTCAAACAATATTTTGGTGGTTGATTGATGTTTTGTGATGCTTGTTTGTAATATTTGTTAGATTGTACAAAATTGGTCAAATAGAACATGCTGAATTTAAAAATAAAATAAAAAATTGCATATTTTACGACAGGCATAATAAGTCATTGTATTACATATTTTACGGCGCGCAATCAATGTCGTTATTTCTCTCACCAATTAACAGCATACAAAAGTAGCCGTAGAAAAAGTAACAACAATGCACAAAATTTGCCACAAATAATTTTTAACGGCGTACTATAGCATGTCGTGGAAAAAGTAACAACGCACAAAATCTACCGTTAAATAATTTTTAACGGCGTATGAAACATGTCGTTGAAAGTGAATGACTTTTCATGAGTAGTCATAATATGACGTGCACTGCACGTCATATAAGGGTTTTTACAGCGTGCATTGCGCGCTGTAAAAACCTTTTTTTGTTGTAGTGATATGCTAGATGAGTCAATCTATCAGTGATAAATTTATCATTAGAAAGATAATAGAGTGCTGATTTGTCAATGAAGAGATGAATATGTTCTATGGGTCAATCTATCAGTGATAAATTTATCATTGGAAAAAGGACAAAGAACAAATGGTAAGGGCATGATTATGTTGATCTACGACACTAAGGGCAACTATTTTCTGGTAAGGCCTTTCCTTTTCCTCCTCATCTTCATCATTTTCCTCTCTCTCTTTCTTTTTCTTCTTCGTCTTCACATTCTTCTATTTTTTTGTCGCCATCAGATTTAAGGAGGTAGTGACGGTATTAATATAGTAGAGATGGACGTTATTTTTGCTGAAAAAGTGGTGTTGGGAACTATCATTGGAAGAGGTTGTCGGAGGTGATCATCGGAGGTTGCCGGAATCACCGGTGATCAAAAGTGATCACTGATGGCTAGAAGTGTATGATGGTGGGTCATGTCAATGATATGATGATTGAGTTGTTGAAGGAAGTGTAGGAAGGATATTTTGGGGATATTAATAGGTGAAAAAATTAACAGAACTTACAGGTAAATAAATCCGATCAATAGGACTGATCTGTAAGTCTCCCTAATGATTATGAGTAATTAATTATGGGAATTGCAGGATAGTGGGAAAAAAAATTATAAAAATAAAAATGCTTGGACTCCCAAAGTTGGGGGACTCTCATGACCCTCAGAATGATATGGATCAATTATGTGTTTTTGTTTTTTTTATTTTTTTTTTATTTCCCTCTTGAACCAATCACAAGTGAGTGGGGGTTGTGGAAGTTGTGTTTTTTGAGTGTCTGTAGCATTGTCAAGATTATTTCATTTTTACCCATATACTTTTACATGATTTTCAATGACCCTGCCAAACTTCTCTTATTTTCACGCGTACCCCCATACTATTTAAATTACTGGCAATTTTGCCCCTACTGCTACATTTGAAACAGAAAAAGTTAAAAGAATTACATTTTGGCCCCAAATTTCAAAAGAAAGATGCTGTAGACACCCTATTTTTTACCGTCCTCAAGACTTGGATGTTCTTGCAGGTACATCCAGTGATGAGTTTGATTGCTCGTCGAGCACTCGAAATCCGCGGCAGAACACCACAGGTTAAGCTTTCCAAACCCTACATCAATTCTGTCACATTTTTGGACCATGTTTAAGTCGTTTCAGCATGTTGTTTTTGATGCTCTGCCGGCCATGTTTGGGCACTGTCGGCCATGGATTTTGTCCTGCTGGCCACCAGTGTATCAGTAGATATTTTCTAATATTTTGTGCCAACTGTTTGCACAAATTGAGCCATCTTCTTGCACGTGTATGGCTGGATCTCTTTAAGGGGATTTTGCATCTTCTATATATAGAGGCCCTCTCTTGCATGTGTGAGGGTTAGAAATTTTTGAAGATAAAAAAATCTCTCCCTCTCTCTCTAGAATCCTCTCTCTCTAGATATTTTGTGCCTTATAGCCTAAATTCTCTACACTCTTGTGCACAAATTGAGCCATCTTCTTGCACGTATATGGCTGGATCTCTTTGAGGGGATTTTGCATCTTCTATATATAGAGGCCCTCTCTTGCATGTGTGAGGGTTAGAAATTTTTGAAGATAAAAAAATCTCTCCCTCTCTTGCATGTGTGAGGGTTAGAAATTTTTGAAGATAAAAAAATCTCTCCCTCTCTCTCTAGAATCCTCTCTCTCTAGATATTTTGTGCCTTATAGCCTAAATTCTCTACACTCTTGGATATAAACCCTTGATCAAACTTGATCACCATTGAGTTGAGGTTGCTTGAGGTCCTATTTGAGCTCTAGAAGAGGATTTTGGCTGGGTTTGGCTTGATTTTGGTGCCTAAATTGTATCTTGTCTTCAAGAGGTAGAATACTTGTGTTTTAAGCTTAATTCAAATACTTGTTTTGCCATCTTTACATACTGTTTTGAGGCTGGTTTTAACCTTTGAAAATCCCTGTTTTCATGGTCTAAAATGGTGGTTTGAGGTTTGTTTGGAGTTAGGGGTAGTCTACCTTTCTTGTTGCTTGATTATTAAGTTGTTGTGTCAACTTTCAAAGCTTTTAAAACAACTTTTTTTGGCCTTTTAACCACTGAATTCCAGGGGATTTTCAGTGGTAAAAACCATGTTTTGAGGTCTAAAATTGGAGGGGGTAGCCTCCCCTCCTTGTGTCTTGCTTCCATGCCTAGGTTGCTTCATATGTTAGCTTGATTTTCTAGCTTAACCTAGCTTAATTCAAGCATGTTTTAGGCTTTATTTTGGCATGTTTCAACTTTGTTTTGGGCTACTTGGAGCACTTGAGGCTTGCTTTGTATGATTGTAGTGCAATTGTGCTTAATGGCTTAGCTTATGCTATGTTTTTGGCCTCTTATTTTAGCTATTTTTAGCTTTCTTCAAGCATGTTCTAGGACTCCTTTTAGGTTGTTTTAAGACTATTTCGAAGTGTTTGTGCCTTTTGAGCGTTGTATTGCATGCCTATAGTGTAGTGATCTTCACTAGTTTGGTGTTGTAGGCCTTCAAACTTGATTTGCTTGATTTAGTTACATATAGCTTAACCTAGCTTAATTCAAGCATGTTTTAGGCTTTATTTTGGCATGTTTCAGCTTTGTTTTGGGCTACTTGGAGCACTTGAGGCTTGCTTTGTATGATTTTAGTGCAATCGTGCTTAATGGCTTAGCTTATGCTATGTTTTTGGCCTCTTATTTTAGCTATTTTTAGCTTTCTTCAAGCATGTTCTAGGACTCCTTTTAGATTGTTTTAAGACTATTTCGAAGTGTTTGTGCCTTTTGAGCGTTGTATTGCATGCCTATAGTGTAGTGATCTTCACTAGTTTGGTGTTGTAGGCCTTCAAACTTGATTTGCTTGATTTAGTTACATATTGAAATGTCTTTTTACATGTAATTTTAGTATTTATAGCTCTGGCACATACTCATTTGTTTCTCTTTCATTGCTTTTGAGAGTTGCTCTTGAGTCTTGTTTGCAAGCTAGCATGTGAGCATGTTTTTTTAGCATTTTGTGCCTTAATCTCAACAAGTTTTAGCCACTATTTTGGCATGTTTTAACTCTGTTTTGAGTCGGTTTGGTCCTTTGAGTCTTGTATTGTGTGGTTGTAGAGCAATGGCTTCATTAGCTTAATGTTTTAGGCTCTTAAACATGACTTGCATGTGTTGTTTTCATGTTTTAGTGTCTTTTTGCACTCCATTTCAGCATTGAAATATTTGCAACCTCCCTCTATTCTTCACTCTTTAATTTGTTTTGAAAGTGGCTTTAAGCCTCTTGTTGGCCTTAGTGTGGAATCGAGACCCTCATGCCTAATGGTTTAATTCCTTCGGGAGTTCATTACCAACAGCATGAGGCCTCTTTCATGCTCAAGGTACTTGTGGTTTAAGCCCTCTTTCCATTAGACGACTCTCACCTTGGACTTAACTGGTTAAAGAATGGGTTAGTAATTAAAATGAGTAAATAAAACATGACAAGTAAAACTTAAGCAAGTTAAGCATGTTGTGTTGCATTGCATGTGTTCAATCGGAAGTGATATTGAACACAAGGAAGATTGGAGCATTTCATACTCAAAGTGATGAAATAAGCCAATCTCCTTGGTCTCCATTGCCTTTGATCATTCATGATAAGGCGGTGGTCTAGAGCCTTGTTTTTGTGCATTTATTGAAATTGTACTCCTTAGATCTTTGGCCATCATGCATTGAAAATGCTTGATTGGTAGTTTTGGATCCAAGAGTGCCACACCTTTGATGTTTTGAGATGATAAGGAGAGGCACAGTACAAATAAACCCCTGGAAAAACCTTCATTTTTCTCTGTTTGTGCTTTGTTGTAGTGTGGTGATTTAGAACACCAGTGGTCGATAGTGGCTCATTGTTGGCCGGCAGTGGCTCATTCTTGGTCGGCAAGGCACATTTTTAGCCGGCAGGGGGCCGGCAGCAAGCTCCCATGGCCGGTAGGCCACTATTGCAGTCCTCAGCATTGATTTGGTAAGGCAGAGCAGAAAATTCTTGGAGTAAGCTCAACCCTGCAAACAAAGCCTCTCAAGAGCAAACCGGAGGGCTTTTCGAGGCAAAAATCGAGTGCACGCATCCTCCACTTTCCGAGGCAGAGCTGAGGTAGTGTTGTTTTAACATTTGTTTTGCATGATTAGTTAGTGTGCATGTGTTTCATTGACTAGTTTGCTAGTTGATTAAAGTGTTGTAATAATTAGTAATTAGTTTGCTAGTTATTCATTTGGTTTGTAATAATTAGTCTAATTAGTTTAATTAGATTAGATTAGCTTAGCTATTATTCATTCGGACCCTCTTTCGTGAGGGCATAATGTTGTAATAAGTGTGCGTGCGTGTGTGCATGTCTTCCAACCCTGCGTCTTTCTCCCTTTTACTTAATTGCTTTCGATGGTTAGATTAGAAACATTTTCAATTAGCATACCTTATGCTCGCATGTTTGCATCCATTCATTTGTCTTGTATGCACCGAGGCTCAGCGCATCATTCAAATTGCATTGTAATTTCAATACTTAT